GAGGAGCATGTCGGATCACCTTACGACAAAATACGCACACGAAATCGAAGCATGCACGGGGAACGTGTTTCCGAGCGATGGCGAGTTTGAACTTTGCATCGACTGGAGGCCGCTCCCTGGGCACCCTGAGCGTCGACAAGAGTCGCTCAGGATGAGAGTCGGGTCCTGGCGAGGGGGGTCGTGTGCTCCAGGGCCGGCGACTCGAGGGGAGGGGAGGAGGATGCATGAGGAGAAGGAGGATGTTTTGGTTTCGTCCACCTTGTTCAAGCAGTGGCGCAGCGTCCCGGCTCGCCTATGGCCCTACCAAACAATGTTCTAAGAACCCTTTGTGGTTTCCACGACATGTTCTTAGAACATGGTTGGCGGGGCCTGTCTTGTTTTAACACATCGGGTTTATGTTCTAAGAACATTGGTTCTTAGGACATGTTGGGTTCTAAGGACATTTTTCCTGGTAGGATTACAGGGATGCTGGGACGGTCCGTCCCTGCTCAACCTGTTGGTCCTCTCACAGAGGGTCCCCGTTGCCGCGACCTGATCCGCCTCGGAATCAGTGTCGGACGCTGCGCTCTGTTACAAGTCAGGGGGCAGCGGTTTCAGACGCTGGAGGGGGAGAGCAGGGGGAGGGGAGGAAAAGGTTGGCAAGGAGAGAACGCTGTATTCTCTTCAAAGTGATGCGGACCAAATCTCGTCAACACAAACAGAAGCAGGATGGAGATGGCGTCCAAGACGACCCGATTTTGTTTTGCGCCAGACCACGCAGGGGCTATGGGGGGAGAAGTCGGGCAAGAGCGACGCGAATCCCGGGTGTAGCGCACTGAATGTTTGACGCTTCGCGTATCCCCGCCAGCGCGTTTGCTTGTGAACTTAGCTCATTTTGTTTTGTGCATGTGCAACTGCGCACTTGCTGTGCAGATGCGAACTGGCTTGCCAACGTGGCGGCTGTGTTCGCAAATTCGCACCGTGCCGCATCCCGGAAGCCGCTTCCGCTCCCTGACCGTTGCCTTGGAGCAGCCGACCAAAACAGTATACCCGCCAGCGTGCGCCTTGGGCTGCCGCTGGCTCCCCCCGGCACTGGGAGGAGGATTTCTGAGGACCGGGCGCTGAGTGGTTCAGCCTGCAACGCCTGTGCAGCCTTTGGCCTTCCCCCGCGCTCTGTCTCGGTTACACCGCACAGCCGTTCGGCTTGTGCAGGCCGGCATGGGGTCTGGCGCCGCCACGGCGACTCACTCCGTTGCCTCCGCACATTCTTCTCGGCAGCCCGTTTACTTCGGTTCACGCTGCTGCGCCTATGTGCGTTTGCTGGTGAAATTAGTTCATTTTGTTCTGTGCATGTGCAACTGCTGCGAGTTTGTCTTGCGGGTGCGAGCTTGTCCGCCGACGCTGGCGGCTTTGTTCGGAAATTCGCCCCGTTCCGCCACCCGGGCGCCGCTTTCGCTCCTTGACCGTTGCCTTGGAGCCGCCGGCAAAAAAGTATCCCCGCCAGCTCTGCTTGTCCCTTCCCCTGTTTGTTCTTGTGTTCTTTCGCCCTTCTTCTCTGACGTTAATGTAGGCCGCTGCTTGTTCGCAGTGCCTTGACGCCGCCCGACCTGCTCCTCGCCGCGGTCGCGATCAAACAAGTACCCCCACCAGCCCATCCAGAAACGATGTCCAGGAGAGTTGATAGGAGAAGGGATGAAGAGACGCGCATAGTGAAACAGCGTGGGCAACAACGGTGACTTGGGAGATCCCTGGTAGCGGCTGGTGCGGGTGCTGCTGTTGGTGCTGTTGTTGTTGCTGGTGCTGCTGGTGGTGGTGCTGCTGCTGCTCCGACCTCCGCTCCTCTTTCCAGCCGCCGCTGCCGCGGTCGTCAACGTCGTCTTCGTCTCCGTCGTCGTCGACTCTGTCGTCGCTGTTTTCGCCGCGAGAGGGGGGGGCGGAGGAAGAGGAGGAGGAGGAGGAAGTGGACAATGAGGAGGAAGAGGGGGAAGAGGATGATGGGGAGGGAGAGGAAAGGATGAGGAAGAGTAGGCTGAACAATCATAGCGAAAGGAGGAGGAGGAGGCGGACACGGAAAAGGAGCATGAAAAGGAGGAGGAGAACGATGAGGAGGACAAACGAACAAATGACGAATGTAAGAGCATTCTCGGATGTCTCTTGCGAGTGTTTTGCAGGCATTTTGGAACGTCTGGTGGGCATCTTGGGTGCCTTGGGAGTCCTCTTGAAGCCTCTTGGGGGCCTCTTGGGGGTCTCGTGAGAGCCTCTTGGAGGCCCCGTGGGGCCGCCTGGGCGCCTCTTGAGGCCCTTTTGGGCCGCTCTTGGGAGCTGCGGGGGCGCTCTTGGGGCCATCTAGGAGGAGATCTATCAAACAAGGGGGTCCTTAATTAGCGCTGCCCTTCCAGAGCGCCAAACACCGCCTCCTGATCCCTTCTTGTGGCCTTTCTGGGGCCCCTCTTGGGGCCCTCCTGGGCCATCTTGGAGCCACATTGAGGCCTCGGATGGCCATCGGAAGCGAAAAGGCGAGAAGGCACAACTCATTCATTTTCGCTTGGGTTTTGAAGGACTTTGCCTTCTTGGACGCCTCACCGGGAGTCTCGGAGACCTCTTGGAGCCGCCTTGGAGCGTTCTTGGGGCCTCGTGGAGCATCTTGAGAGCCATTTTGAAGCATTTTGCGTTATCTTGAGCCATCTTGGAGGCCATCGTGGCCTCTCCGAGGCCCTCTTGGGGCCATCTTGGGCCATTTTACACGCTCCAGCCCCTCGCGACCACCCCCGTCCAATTCCAAGGGAGGGGGTATGGGGGAGGGGTCAAGAGGCCCTCCCCGCCCGCAAGCCGTCTCGCTCACTCCCACCCGCCCCCCCACCACGTACGTAGCACCCGAGCTTGGCCCGAGCCGCAGTATATGCAGCAGTCGTCTTTGGATGGGCAGCTATTGGGGGCCAATCTGCCGCCGCCGCCGCCGCCGCCGCCAGCGCCGCCGCCAGCGCCGCCACCGCGCCGCCCGCCGCCGCCGCCGCCGCCGCCCCCGCTGCCAAGTCGCCGCCGACGCAGCCGCTGCCGCCGCAGTCGCTGCCGCCACCGCTGTCGCCGCCGCCGCCACCGCCGCCGTCGCCGCCGCCGCCGCCGCCGCCCCCGCCGCCGCCGCCGCCCCCGCCGCCGCCACCCCCGCAGCCGCCGCAGCCGCTGCCCCCGCCGCAGCCGCCGCAGCCGCCGCCGCCAAGTGTACTCTGTATTGGTTTTTGACAGGGATGGTGGGGGGGAGGCCGCATCGAGTTCGCTGCGCATGGTTTGAATTTGGAGACAGAATGTGTTCTATATTTTTTTTTGGAAGGGATGGTGGGGGCAGAGTGTGTTTCGTACTGTTTTGTTATAAGGGATGGCGGGGGGGGCCCGCATGGACCTGGGTTGGCTCTCAGTCGCCTGGGGGAGGGGGTGTATATTTAATAGGGAACAGTGATCAACCCCTCCCCGAAGGGGAAGAAGGGGGTTGGAAGAGGAAATTCCCGAAACCACCTGCGCCCAGAGGGCTGGTGGGACTCAGTGCTGCGGGCAAGCGGAGTTCCAGACGCCAAAGCGGCAGCTGGCCACCAGCACGCAGGCAGGCTCCGCCGACCAGCGAACAGCCACACGCAGGACTGCAGAAGAACATGCAAGATGCACGACTGGGCGTCGAGGCCGACAGGCGGGGCGTTCGCGCACCGCCTGGTTGAAGGAGCCGTGGTGGTTCACAAGAGCAGCATGCGGACGCGCGCCGCGCGGCGCGGCGAAACGGTGGGCCAGCTGGCGCAGGGGACGCGCGCGCGCGGCAACAGGGCGACGGCACATTGCCGTGCTTCGCGCGTGCAGGGCCCGGACCCCCCGCGCCGGAGCACGGCGGGCGAGGTGGAGGCGGCCCACGACAAAAGAGCCTGAGCCTGGCACAGCGTAGGCGCGGCCTTGGGCGCCTATGGGCCCGCGGAAGCCGTCTTGGGTCCCGAGGCCCAGCTTGGGTTTTCTTGTTGGGCTGCATCGGATGGATCTCCGACCGAAGGGAGCGGACAGCGAAAACATGTGAGAGCATCACGGACATCAGTGCTTGTGGCCGCTCGAAGGCCTCCTCGCTAGCGTCTGTGAGCTGACTCGGGCCTGTTCGAAGCCTCTTGGGAACAGTTGGCTGCTTCTCAAGGGCTCGTGGGTGCCTTTTGGTGCAATGTCGGGGCAGCTTGGCGGCCTTGGTCGCCGTCTTGGGCTGTCTGCTGCAGAACGCCTTCGAGAGCTCAACAGAGCGCCAGGGAGGCGTCGGGCCGGGCAGCGAGCCTCGGAGAGGAGGGCCAGTGCACGCACCGGAGTCTGGCACGAGGGGGGGGGCCTTCGGGACAGCACAGAAGCTCTGCCGGGCAGCATGTGGTATTCCACCGCGCCTCCGTGTGCCGGGGGTCACGGGGGCGGATCCGCTCGGCCGGAGCCGCAGTGGAGGAAAAGAAAAGCAATGAGCTACGAGGGAGGGGCGGCGGATGAGAAGCTGGCCGAGGCGGCACGCCAGCTCGATGAATCCGAGCGCGCCGAGGCAGGACCGAGGAGAAAACGAGGGCGGGCGGAAAAGAAGAGCGAGCGCGGCTCGACGAGAGAAGGGGATAAAACGCAGAGCGAATTTTCGAAGTCGAAGCTGGCCGAGAAGGAAGAGGAGGAGGTGAAGGAGAACTGGAGAGAGAATGACGATGTGCAAGTAGGAGGAGAAGGAGGGCGATCAGGAGGAGTAGAAGGAGGTAGAGGTGCAGGGGGAGGACAATAGGAAGAGACGAGAGGATGGATGATGATCCGGGAAGGAGGAGCACGACGGCGAGGCAATGCAGGAAGAGGAAGAAGAGAGCGAGAGAGCATGAGGACGGAGGAGGAGGAGGATCAAGCAGAAGCAAGTGGACGTGCAGGAGAGATTCCGGAAGCGGAAGAGTGAGGAGGAGGGGGAGGGCGAGGGGGACGGTGGTGCAGCAGGAGCATGGGGAAGAGGAGCAGCACGCGGCGGCGGAGGAGGAGGGGGCGCCCGCAGCCGTGCCGGCTTCAGACCCCGCTGCAACGTAGCCTCATGCCTGTCCGTGATACTGCCGATGCGGCGTAGCCCGCTGCAGGCCGGCAGCGCCTGCCGCAGAGCTCGGATCGGCGGGAGAGTTGGCCAGGAGGAGGAGGAGGAGGAGGAGGAGGAGGAGGAGGAGGAGGAGGAGGAGGAGGAGGGGCACGGGTCCTGAGGGAAACGGGTCCTAAGGCTTTCTACAGCTTTCGGACCCGGGCACCCCCACCGGCCCCAGGACTGCCAGAAAACGACTCGGGGTGAAGCACTCGTCCTGGGAGAGGGCCCTTGGGGGTCCAGGACCCGTGCCCCTCAGGACCCGTCCCCCCCGTGCCAGATATTTCCGAACCCCGCCTTCGTCGACCCGCGATCCAGGCAGCCCGATGGGCGGCGGGGGCCGGGCCCCCAGTGCGTCGAGCGCGTGAGGACCTCCGAGCCCTGAGAGCGGTTTGGCATTAGGCCAGAGGCTGGAATGCGGCGCACACCTCTTTCTACACCGCGACGTTGCTCCCGCCTCCCCTCGACTCAGGAGCAGCCCCTGGCTGGCGGGGCTGGGCCTCGGAGGCCGCCGCCCATCGGCGCACAGCCGACCGACGCCGCTCCTGGGCGGGCCCCGCCCCCGGGGGACCGGGGGGCTGTGGAGCTCCTCCGCGCCGGGCGCTGCCGCCCGACCACCGCAGGTCTATATTCAGGAGGGAAGGAAACACACAGACACAATTCATCGTCGACTCCCAGGAAAATATGCAAACATATGGGGAGTGGGGGGGAAGGCAAAAACCCAACACATATGGGGCAATATGGGGGATGTTTTTATTTGTGTGTATTTATTTGTGTGTCCTGGGGCCCCTTCATATATCCAACTCGAGAGTTGACCGGGCTGGGCTGGGGCGAGGACGGAAAGCCGCCCCAGAGCGTTCCCGAGCGCTCTCAGACCGTTGCGGAGTGCTCTGCGAGGGCCGCGGCGCGCAATACAGTCTCCAGAGCGGCCGGATCTCAGGGACTCCTGAGTCACCCGCCCCCGATGAATCCTCGTCCTGGCTCCGTGTCGGTCCCGAGAGCCGACCGTGCTGTTCTGCGACGCTGTAGTCTCTGTCGCAGCGTCGATCTTGGGCGGGGCCGTGGGCTTGGGCGGGTGCCGTCAGTGCCTGGCCAGGGCGGCGTACCTCCGAGGAGGGCGGGTTGAGACAGCTTGCCCGCCTGAAGCACATCCCCATTGACTCGTTTGCCATCACTTTATCTTGATGCCGATCTTGCGAAATCTCTCAGTTTCTGAGGTTGTATCAGTGAAATGGTCCTCGTCTCTGGGCTTGCAAATCTTAGGGGTAGGGGTAGGGCCGAGGCTGGTTAACATCGGTAGTTGGCCTTGGGGGGCGGCCTCATTGCACGGTTGGGCGCAGCTTGGAACATTGGTGCGCGTGGTCCAGATGAGGATCTGGGGATCGATGCCGAGTTGTCGATGTTTCCCTTCGCTCTGCCCCGAGTGCCATCAAGACTTTGGTCGGGGGCCTCGGAGCAGGGCGGTGATCACATCGTGTGGTGGGTGAATAAGTGGGGGTCAGGGTGAGCGCACGGTTTGGGGACGTGGATCGTTCCCCGATGATATCTCGGGCGGTTGGGGCGTCCAAGGTCCCAAAACCGTGCGCTGACGGACCGTGCGGTGAGGTCTTCGGGGGTTCCGAGGTCACCGCACGGTCTATCACCGCATAGTTTCGGGAGCCCCAACTTAGAGTAAGTGCAAACCTTTCTGGCCTCGGGGGTTCCTCGGGGTCTTTTTTGTTCTCTTCCCCACTGTTGTCGGGCCCTGCGAATCTGGGCGCAGCCACCAGGGCCGCTCCCCCCCCCCCCCCCTGAACGCTGTCGGCGCGGCGCAGCTATTGGAAAGCACCCCGAAGCGGGAAAACGTTTCTAGTATACGACCGAACATCCGAAAATGTCGGGCCTCTTCTCTTCCTTCTGTGAACTTCTCGGAAATTTTACGACGAATGTGCGTGGCGCTACAGCGAGAGCCACGTGTTGAAAACCACCTGTGTTCCATCCGAGTAGCTGTCGGAGACTTGCAGGTCGAATGCGAGCTGCGATAGGGCGAGAGTCGCATCTCGAAAAACATCTCCGCTCCATCGAAGCTGCTGTTCGAAACCTGAGGTGCGAGCCGCCATTTGAGAACTACCACCCTTCTATCCTCTATCCGTGTGCAACTGATTGAAAGTTCATGTTCCGAGGTCACAACCGGGTAAAATGTCTCATGCGAAACATCCGGCCCGCCCCACAAACACGTTTGGTGGTCAGGTGAGCAGCAATTGTTCACATGTAAGGGTAAAGGATGAAGAGAGAGAGAGAGGCAGGACGATGATGATGATGTTGCTGGTGATGATAGTGCTGCTGATGATGCTGATGATAATAATGATGATGCTGATGATAACGATGATGCTGATGATAATGATGATGGTGATGCTGATGCTGACGCTGATGCTGATGCTGATGCTGATGCTGATGATGCTGCTGATGATGATTATGATGATGATAATGCTGTTGCTGCTGATGCTGATGATGATGATGAGGAGGAGGAGGAGGAGGAGGAGGAGGAGGGGGAGGTGGAGGAGGAAGAGGAGGAGCGGGGGAGGAGGACCAGGACCATTATCAGGATCGGGATCAGGATGATATAGAAGGGTATAAGGGGAAGCACGATGAGGAGGAAGACGACGACGAGGAGAAGGCAGACGGGGAAGGGTAGCAGGAGTAGGAGGATTAGGATCAGAATCGCGATGAGGGGCAGGAACAGAGGAACTTGAGGAGGAGGAGGAGGAGGAACACGAGGATAACCACCATCAGCCTGATGGGCTGGTCGAGCAGGTCAAGGTGAAGGAGGAGAGGAGGACGACGAGAGTGGGGACGAGAAGAGGAGGAAGTGGAAGGGAGATTGGCTGAGAGAGAGGCACCCACGACGAGGGCGAAGACGGAAAATGATTAGATGGGGGCCGTCGCTTGATTCCTGCGTGTGCCGCTGTCTTGACTGCCTTTGCAAGCATCCCAACGCCAGAGCCCCCCCCACCCTTGGCGCCTCCATCTGTCTCTTGATCCCTCTCCTCGCCCTCAAGCAACTATTCTTCTCGTCCTCCTCTCATCATTCTCCTCGACTGTTCCCCACCCCCTCCTCCTGCTTTCGTCCTCTGCGAAGTCAGAGTAGCTTGTGACGCCCCAACGAGCCTCACGCAGCGACGGCAACCACGACGGCGACTGCGCCGGCGCCGCCGACGACAACGGCGACGACCATCTTGCGAACATAATCCTGCGAGTCAGTTTTGACCTTCTTTTGTTGCCCCCTCTCCCTTGCACTTGCCTGCTAGGTCCATGCACCAGCCCCCCTTTGGGGGGGCTTGTGTTCGTACGAGCTCCGCGCGTGCATATTCGCGCGCAGAGCGGCAAACTGGTTTGCCACAGCCGACGCGGCCGCGATAGCGCTTACCGGTGGCGTTCCCCAACGCCTGTCACAGGCCGCGCTGGCTCGCGGGCACTTCATTGCGGGTCGGTGGTTCGGGTGGGCGCGGTATGATGACGACGTCGGCAAAGACGACAAGGATGACGATAGCAACGAGCGTCGTGGCGATGATTGCGATGACGAAGGTGCTGTCAATGACGGCGCCGATACTGTAAACGCTGGTGCCGATGGTGATGTCCATGTGTCGATGGTGATGGGTTTGAATGGTGATGGCGGCAATGGCGGCGATTGTCGGTGACTACGACTTGATGCGGCGGCGCTGCTTGGGGCTATGGTGAAGAAGTTCGCGTTCGCGGAAGTGCACTAACCCTGGCAAGGTTTGCGGGATTCATTGTTCATGCTCTCTTGGGGGCTCGATTATGAAACGCTTCGGAAACCAATGGTTTTGGATGGGGTTCGACGCGCTCGCGTTGCCGCGCGCGCGCGTTGCCAGCGTGGTATTGTTACGGGTTTGCGCAGTGCTGGATCAACGCGGATGCACCGCGTGGTGGGATGAGAATGCGGGTTTTGGCTGCAGGATTAGGAATGGGTTAGCAAGCGTGGGCCCGAAACGTTTTGCGTCTCACAGCACATGTTTTGCATTCAGTGTGGAGCATCCGGTGTGATGCAAGCTGAGTGGTGCAATACACGTTGTGCGACCTATGTTTTGCAATATATGTAGTGCACCTTATGTGCTGCGCAATGGATGTGGTGACGACGTGGTGCAATCCAGATGGTACAGTCTATGTGGTGCACTCCGCCCTGCGGAACTTGAAGTTGTCAATGCCATTGGTCGCGCAATCACCCCACCGATGTACCCGCAATAAGGCTTGTAAAGCCAATGCGGCAGCGATTGCGCTGACTGCTTGGCGCTGGCTGGCACGTCGCTGCGGCCGCGCTATCGCGCGCAAGCTCGCGAGCAGAGCGGCCAGCGGTCGCGGTGGCGTTGACCGACGCGGCCGACGCGGCCGAGTTGTCACTGACCGCCAGGGACTTCCCAGATCGTCTCGAAGGCCGCGTTTACGCGCGGCACTTCAGTGCGAGTCGGTGATTCGGGCGGGCTCGATATCATGGCGACGTCGACGACGGCAAGCACGATGATTGTTGTATCGGTGCTGGTGACGAAGATGGCGACGACGATGACGACGGCAAGGCCACTGACTGCGCTGATGCCGATCACGCCGATGACGACGATGGTGATCCCGCATCGCTGATGAAGATTTTGAAATTCCGACATGCGGGTGCGGCCGACGGCCGCGAATGGTTTGGATGATATTCTTTAACGGGAACGGGACCACCCCAGTTCGCGCGCAAGGGCGTTCAAATGATCCCGACGCGAGCGCGAGAGGCCCATTTAGTCGAATGTTGCACAATAACAAAGCTTTCCGTACGAATTCGCAAACGCGTGGCCAGACTTTGCTTGAACAGTCAGGGTGCGAAACCATGCGTTTTTGGTGTGTTATCGGGTCACAGGATCGGAACACCCTGCGGCTCCTAGGGTTGCTTGACAGATTCTGCTGTGCGTGCGACGACGCGCGCGTGTCGATTTGTTCCCCGGTGTGTTGTTCTGCTATCGGTTCGTTGAAGGTGACGTTGATCAACGAATGCGCGCACAGTATGATTTGACAGGGATGGGGGTGGTGGGCGATATCCGCCCGCCTGGGTTGATATGAGTTCAGATTTAAAATGAACGACGGGGTATGTTCATATGTAACTTACAATATCTGGGGGGGGGGGCGATCAAACATGGGGAGAAGGTGTCGATCCTGCTTGATGTCCGGCCAGTATGTTGTGTTGGGTTTTCGTTGTGAAGAGGCGACGTCCCTCGTTCCTGTTTATCGTTCCCCCTCTTTTTTTCTCACGCGCCCCATCATCACATCATCATCCCTTGTCATCATCATCCCCACCACAACCACTATCATAACCATTACCGTTCTAAACATCAGCCGTCATCATCACCATCGCCACCATCAGCTTAGGTACACCCCGAACACGCCTCGTGGCCCCATTAAGAGTCCCACCGAGGGCTTCAGTAGCTGCGTTCGCACGCGACCACCGCACTCGTTTCGGCACACCCGTCACACGTTTCGGGGGTCCACCGAAAGGCCTATTGGCAGCGTTCGCGTGCGCACACCGCACCCATTCCAGCACACTCCTCACACGTTTTGTGGCCTCACAGGAAAGAGACTCTACGGAAGACATCCACTGGCTACCTTAGCATGCGCCCACCGCGCACGTTTCCGCACACCCATCGCACGTTTCGTGGCCCCACAGGGAACTCCACGAAGGCTCCAGCGGCTGCGCTCGCATGCGCCAGCCGCACCAATTCCGACACACCCCGCACACGTTTCGTGGCCCCGCAAGGAGTTCTACCGAAGTCCCAAGCGGCTACGTTCGCATGCGCCCACAGCACCAATGTCGACACACCCCTTACACGTTTCGTGGCCCCAATGGGAGTTTCACCAAAAGGCCTCAGTGGCTGCGTTCGCACGCGCCCACCGCACCCATGCTGGCACACCCCGTACACTTTCCGTGGCACCGTTGGAAGCTCCACCGAAGGGCCCAGTGGTCGCGTTCGCATGCGCCCACCGCACACATGTCGGCATACCTCTCACACCTTTCGTGTCCCGCATGCGCCCACCGAGCCTATGTTGGCACACCCGTCACACGCTTCGTGGCTCTCCAAGGAGCTCCACCGAATGCCCCAGTGGCTGCGTTCGCATGTGTCCACCGCGCCCATTTTGGCACACCCGTCGTACGTTTAGTGGCCTCATGGGGAGCTCCACGGAAAGCCCCAGTGGTTGCGTTCGCATGCGCTCACCACACCCATGTCGGCACACCCTTTACACGTTTCGTGGCCCCACAGGGAGCTCCACCGAAGGCTCCAGAAGCGGTGTTCGCATGCGGCCGTCCAGCCCATTTCGGCATACACCTCACACGTTTTGTGGCCCCGTAGAGTGCGCCATCGGAGGCTCCAGTGGCGGTGTTCGCACGCGTTCGCCCCATTGGAGCCACCGAAAGTTCCAGTGGCGGTGTTCGCATGCGTCCACCCCACCAATTTCGGCAAACCCCTCACACGTTTCGTGTCCCCATGGGGAGCCCTACCGAAAACCCCAGTGGTCGCGTTCGCATGCGCCCACCGCGAACGTGCTGGTACATTCCTCACACGCTTCGTGGCCCCACTGGTGTTTCACCGAAGTCGATCTCACAATTGCGCTACTCACAACTGCACATGGTTGGGTCTTTCGCCAGGTTGATTCATTGGTGCGAGTCTATGTGGTGCAATCGACGGGCTGCAACCTTTGTGGTCGAAGAAATGTTGTGCGATCTATGTGGTGCAGTCCATGTGGGGCCATCGACGTGGTGCAACCGATGTGGCACAAGATATGTGGTGCAACCAGCGTTGTGCTATCTTTATGATGCAACTCGCGTTGTACAATCCGGGCGGCGGCGGAGCGGCGACGAGCGGCGACGGCGAGCACGGGACCGCCAGACCGGCACCCAGGCCCGTCCGACGGGCGGCGACGGGGCGGCGACGGGGCGGCGACGGCGAGCACGGACCCGCCAGACCGAGAGACAGGCCCAGACGACGGGGCGCCGACGAGGCGGCGGCGGGGCGTCGACGAGCACGGGGCCTGGGCCGCCAAGCCGACACCCGTGCCCAGACTCTGACGAGTTGGCGACGAGGTGGCGACGGGGCGGCGACGGCAAGCATGGAACCGCCAGACCGACACACAGGCCCAGTCCCTTACAACAGAGAGCCTTTACGTGCAAGCACGGTTTGGAGAATATGATCTTCAGCAAGTGTGCGCAGTTTTGTGTTGAAGCATTTTCTGTTTATCTGTTGAAGAAGTGGTTATCTGAACACATTCCTGGAACACTGGTGTGTTTGGTGTTGTTGCAGCGTGTGGACGGCGTGCCATCTCTTGCAAAAGATTCGTCAAACATTGTCTGTTGCGCTAAAAGAAAGGGCGAGCACTGTCTTATTTGACAGGATGTTGCCTCGGATGGAATGAAATGGATTCATTTGCAAAACGAACGATGGGGCAAACTCAAATGTAATTTGCAGTGTCTCAGGGGGGGGGTCGATGATTGAGGGGCGTCGAATCTAGAAGTGTGAAGAGAGTCGAGCGGGAGCAGTCTCGTCGAAGCTGGGTTGTTACCAACTTGATTGGATCGCGTGGAAGTCTCGAGCGAGAGCGCCGTTCTTGTGCTTGGTGGCCTTTCTGGCCATGGCGTCTCGGAGTAATTTGCCGGAAAGTTTCGAGCGGGAGCAGTTGCCGTCGCAGCTGAGCCTTCACCAATTGAAGTGACTTTCGATACAGTTTCGAGCGAGAGGTCCATTCGTGAGTTCGGAGGCCTCTCTGGCCAGGGCGTCCTAGAGTAAACTGCGAGGAACTATCGAGCTGGAGTCCTTGCCGTCGCAACTGGGCCTTCAGGGGGACACATCTGGAACCAAGACCGTGCTCGATCGGGAGCTTCGTTTTCCGAGAACGTGTAGCCCGCGTCGACGCGAGATCGTTTGGAGCCGCTTCGTGGCATCAACAAGATCGATGTTCTAGAAGTGAGTGTTCGACGGCGACGAGCATGCCTCCTCCTCCGACGACGACGACGACGAAAGCGACGACGACGACGACGGCGACGACGACGGCGCTGATGCCAGGGGCGCCCACGCCGACCCCATGGTTCTCGACGCCGTCGCCAGCGGCCTCTTCAGCGCCGGCAGGCACCTGGCCAGCTCCACCTCCTCGGAGATAGACGGAGCTCGAGTGGGCGGGAGTGGGCTGATAACCTCCTCTTGCTCCTCCTTCCGATATTCTGGACGCCCGAAATGGGTACGGAAAGAAAGGGTGCGATGCCCAACAGCAACTGTTGTCCCAAACCAACAGCGGCCATTGTTGGGCAGGCGGCCTTCTGTCTCAAATGGACACAGGCCGCGGCGACGCCAACAGCGAGTCCTGTTCCGAATGAACAGGAACTGCTGTTGGGCATTGTACCCATTCTTTCCGTACCCATCTCGTTCGTGCCGAGATATGACCCGCAAGGCTCGCGCTTGTGCCCACGTGCGCGACGGCAAGTAGCGAATTGTTCTCTGGCTACCGGTGCCCCAGCTCGAGGAACAAGCGCAGACGACGTAAACATAAATTGATCTCTTTGAGTGCCGCAAGGATTCTTGGATCGGCGCTAGGCCACCTAGCGCGCTCCGCGCGCCAAGGAGGGGGTTCCAGCGCCGATTCAAGAGATCCAGGCGGGATTCCGAGAAAGCAGGCTTCTGCAATTTGTCTAGGCATCGCTCGGACGTGCGCAGTTTCATCGGCGAGGACCACCGAAGAGCCTCTTGGATCCTCTTGCGACCAAAAAACAGCAGAAGAAAAGGGAACAGAGCGCGGAAGCGGAAGAGCCACGCGGAATGCACGTCCGAGCGGTGGCGAGGCTTGCTCCTCCAGTACAGCGCTCCCGCCGTGCTCCTGGAGGACCTCCCCCCTGGGACGCTATAGCGGCGCCTCGCCTCGCCTCGCCTCGTTTCCTCCCTGTTTCGTTTTCGCCCCTCCCCCTCTGGGTTCCTCGGTCTTGGTTATTTGGCTCCTCGGTCTTGGTTCCTTGCTGCCTCCCTCTGCTTCCTTGGTTACGAGGTCTTGGTTCGTTGATGCCTCGGTTTTGGTTCCTTGGTGCCCTGGTTCCTTGATTCCTTAGCCAGGGCCTTGTTCTTGATTCCTCGGTTCCTTGGTCTTGGTTCTCTGGTGCTCCCTTTGTCGCCGCGGCTGGACGCAGCTCGAAGAACGGGCCAGGTTTTGGCGGCGCGCAGAGGGGGGGAACGGGAAGGGGGGGGGGGCTTGTCAGAAGCACCCCCGCTTCCTTAGAAGGTGCGGGCCGCGGGCCTCACCTATGCAGGGCTCGTGCCTTCTAGGAAGCGGCCTTCTTCGAAGACGCCCCCCCGTCCTCCCCCTGCCCCCCTTTGTGCACGCCGCCAGTCGAAGGACGGGACCTCATGGAACCAGGGAGGGGTGCGGGGACCAGTTCTGATGCCTCGTGCGCCGCGGGAGCCGACCTCGGGTGCTCCTGAAAACACGACGGCGTGTGCCCCAGCGAGCAGGGGCTGGCGGATTCCGACGTTCGTCCACTTAATTCTGTATGCACCTGTGTGTATATCTATAGATCATCTATGTGTACGTATACATGTGCATACATATGTGTAGTTGTATGTCTGTGTCCAGGCATTTATATGTGTGGCTGTATACATAAGTGTGTGTGTACACATGTATGTATGCATGTATATCTATATATATGTATGCGCGAATGTATGTGTATGTGACTGTGACTGAGTGCTCGTGTACGTTGGAGAAAGTGCGTGTGTTTGTGTGTGAGTCTGTGTGTGTGCGTGAGTGTTCGTGTGCGTGTGTGTGTGAGAGAGTGTGTGAGAGAGTGTGTGAGCGTGTGTGTGTGTGTGTGTGTGTGTGTGTGTATGTGAGTGTGTGTGTGTATGTTTGTTCGTCGCTGGTGAATTTGAGGGGTCTGCAAGCCCAGCTCCCTGACGATCTGATGTTTTCAATCCTGGCGTTTGTTCCTCGATGTCGGCCTCAGAGGCCTGCTGTTCTCGGGCCCCAGGGCAATTGAAGATGGATGCGGGACGAAAAACTACCCCCGCGGAAAGGGGTCGGGATTTTGGGGCCGCGCACTCAAACACCGCACCGTCGGGTGGATGTTAGGACATGAGCGGGTTTATGATAGTTCTGTGGCGCTTATCTCAAAGGCGCCCAAAAGGAGGGGGACTGTCTGTGGAGATCAAGCGTCGGGGCTTGGGTGACCTACCACGCCCTGGAACGTTAGGTCTTCGCCAGCGGGGGCCTGCTTCGCATGTTGCCGGCAGCGGCCCTGGCCCAAGGTCCCCCCAGCTTGTCGCTCCATGTTGGAGCCCTGGCGCCAGTCTCTGGGCCTCCTCTTGGGGATCTCCCTGGGGACGCCTTGGCCCAGGGACAGCTCCGGCGGCAACACCTGGCTAGTGTTACCAGCCTGGAACATATCCCTATCCCTATGCTGGACACCTCCTCCTCACGATGCCAATCTCAGGGATTCCCTTATGTTTTGAGGGCGAGCCCCTGAGACTGGCATCGCCGTCGATCTTAGGGATAGGGATACGTTCGAGGCTGGTAACCTCAGCTTTGAACCCCGTCGCCCGCAGGGGCGCGAAGGTGGACGCGCCCTCGCGCCCCTCGGCCGGGGCCGCGGAGAGAGCTGCTCTCGACCGCGGGGCCTCGCGGGAGCGCGAAGGTGGGCCGCGCGCCGCGCATCCCCAGTCGCAGAGCGCGCCGTCTGGTGGCCCAGGGTTCGAATAGGGAGCGGATCGACGGCGGCATCGATTCACCCCAAGCTTGACTTTTCCCCGCGGGATCAACGGAGCACACCTAGAATGAATGCTCCGTAGATCTACGGAGCATTCTGGGTATTTTTTTGTAGTCTCGACGGGAACATCACATTTCGGTGACTCGAGCAGTCATGCACTGACCCCGGCTTGCGTGCAGGATCCTGCCAAGCCTGGCTGACCTGGGTTTGTATTTCGGGCCGGACGAAAAGGGGGGATTGGGAAAGGGGGGGTTACGAAATTTGCTGCATGCAGCTGGTTTCGGCCTCACCGAGGGGGCCATTTCTCGATACATAGCCGCCTCCAGCGCTGGGAGGCGCCGGGAAAATCAGCTACGTGAGCTGATTCTCAAATCCCCCCTTTTGCTATCCCCCCCTTTCGCCAGACCCGAGTATTGACCCGGGGGCCAGTTCGTCGGTCGAGACGCTGGCGTGAGGACCGCTCCAGGCTCGGGAGGGGCTCTGGCCTCCGCGCCGCTCCCTGCACCCCGGGGCCGGGGGACCCTGCTCGTGGCCGCGCCTCGCCGTGGCCCGAAGCTCCCCCCTTCGCTCCCGGTGCGCACCGCACCCCACGGCAGCACGGAGGCCGCATGGAGAGCCCCGGGAGGTCCCGCTGCTCTCCAGACGCGGCCCGCGCCAGAGGGAGCGAGGGAGCGAGCGAGCGACCGAGGAGGAGGGGGAGGAGGGGGAGGAGGAGGAGGAGGAGGAGGAGGAGGAGGAGGAGGAGGAGGAGGAGGAGGAGGAGGAGGAGGAGGAGGAGGAAGGGAGGAGGAGGAGGGAGGAGGAAGAGGAGGAGGAGGAGGAGGAGGAGGAGGGGAGGGAGGGGGAGGAGGAGGAGGAGGAGGGAGGAGGAGAGGAGGAGGAGGAGATGAGGAGGAGAGGAGGAGGAGGAGGAGGAGGAGGACGACGACGACGACGACGACGACGACGACGACGATGTCGACGACGGCGGCGGCGTCACCGCGGAGGCCCTCCAGGAGGGAGAGCCCGCACACCCCTGGCCTCTCTCGGCGGCTGCCCCCCCGTGCCTGCGCCTTCTCTAGGGGGCCACATGCGAACCCTACCCCTACCCCCCACGATTTCTGAGGGGGAGGGTGGGGTTCACTCCGTTCGGGAGCTCCCGAGCGAAGTGAACCCCACCCTCCCCCTCAGAAATCGTGGGGGGTAGGGGTAGGGTTCGCATCTGGGATGCAGTCTCGCTGCGAGCTGAAGGCGACCTGTGGCTGGAGTCATGTGTGCCTCGGGGCCGCGGGCGCCAGCCGTCCGAGAGCCGGCCATCTGGGATGCAGTCTCGCTGCGAGCTGAAGGCGACCTGTGGCTGGAGTTGTGAGTGCCTCGGGGCCGCGGGCGCCAGCCGTTTGAGAGCTGGCCAGCTGGGATGCAGTCTCGGTATGATCAGAAGAGCACCGCTGGGGCGCCCAGCTGAGGAGGGCCATTGCCAGTTGCCCGGCTCGTCCGGATCCGTTCCCTTGTTTCAGCGGCGGTTCGACGACACGAGGCGTCGGATGGCAGGCGTTGGGTCGAGCACATGTTGGCATGCACACTTGCCTAGAGCACATCCCGCGACGACCTGTTTCCAGCGATGGGACGCCCCAAGAGCTCCCCCCCAGAAAATACCATGGCGAAGAACCCATGCACATGCAGTTGTAACTACCGCAGTTGTGAGTATTGCTCTCAGTGGAGCTCCCTTTGGGGTTACGAAGCGAGGGAAAAGGTGTGCCAAAATGTGGCGCGGCCGCCATGCGACCGCGGCCGTTGGGCACCCTGGTGGATCCCCTTCATGGGCGTGCCGGAATGGGCGCGGGGGCGCATGCGAACCATGAGCCATGCCAATGGAACCTTCGGTGGGGCTCCCCATGGGGACACGGACTGTGTGAGGGATGCGCCGGACTTGGCGCGGCGCTACATGCGAACCCTGCCGCTGAGGCCTTCTGTGGAGCTCCCTATGGGGCCACGGACTGTGTGAGGGATGCGCCAAAATTAACATTCGGAGGGGAGAGGGCAGCGGTTAGGGGAGACGCGCGGCCGCTGGGAGGAGGAGAAGGACGAGGAGGAGGAGTAGGAGAAGGAGGAGGAGGAGGGGAGGAGGAGGCCCAGAAAGAAGACACGCGGCGTTGCGGATTCAGGGCAAGGACCCAACGTCACAGGATGGTTGAGGCGCAAATGCGCTACTAAGATTTGAGCCTCGATCCTCCAAATCTGCTCCTGTGCACCAAGTTCCCCTCCCCCTCCGCACACCCCCCCAATATGCCAGGAGCCGGCCTATCCGCGGACACCTTCTACGCGGTGCGGGCCAACACCGCCACCCAGAAGTTCGAGAAGAGGCCCAGAAGGGGGGCCTGGCAGAAAGGGGGGGGCGGACGAAGAGGAGGGTGGATGGGAGGATGGAGGAGGAGGATTGGCTCGGCCAGGGTCGGCCCGAGCGGCAGTCGAAGAGGCTCACTCGAGGCCCCCCCGCCGTCGGACGCCCATTCACACAAAGTCGGATTCCGGCCCTGCAGAGGCCCGCTGAAGCGCTCGTCGGCCCAGGCTTTGCACGTGTGGGGGCGATCGTCAGCCGTCAAGACGAACGCTCGGAGCACACTTCTCGAGGGCTTCGGAGGGAGGCACTCGGAGGGAGGCGCGAGGAGCGAGGAGCGAGGCGCGAGGCTCAGTCCAGACGGGAAGAGCGCAGACGGGAGACCGAGCATTCCGTCTGGACGTGTTCCGTATGTCCGATCAGGCAAGGCGAAGTCCGGACGGGGTAGGCCCAGACGGAGACGGTGCATTCCGCATGTACGCGCTCCGTATGGACTCGGCCTCTCCTGGGAGGAGGTCGCGAGTGCATCTGCGCAGCCAGTCTGTCCTGACGCCGGCCGGTCTGGGCCCGCGGCGTTCCCGGCAGGAGCTCCCTGCAGGACCCCTCGGGAGGCGGCGTGCGCGCGGCGGCCGCCGCTTGCTGCCGCGCCCGGAGTGCTCTCGCGACGAGCTCGCGCGGGCACCAGCCACGTGCTGCAACCAGAGACTGGCTGCTGGGGGCCCTTGCCTCCAGTCAAGCAGTGGTGCAGCGTCTTGGCCTGCTTGTTTGGCCCACCAAAGCATGTTCTGAGAACCTTTCGTGACTCGCACAAGTTGATCTTAGAGCATGTCTGGCTGAGACAGTATTAGTTTAACGCGTCGGCTTTGCGTCCTGAGACTGTTGCTGCGTTGTTATAACATTTGCTTGTTCTAAGAATTTGCGTGTTATGCCCTAAGGAATTCCGTGAAGGATGACCCCTGCTGAATCTCGGCTTCCCAAACCTTCCAAATCAGGGCATCGTTCGGACGCATGCATCTTTCCTCGGCGAGGACCATCGGGGAGCATCGTGGCAGATATTGCGGAACAACGCACTACAATGCACGGATAATAAATTTCCAAGCGATGGTGAGAGATGGGGTCCGAGTGGATAGGGTCGGAGGATCGCGCCGCACCGTCGATGCATCGGCGATGCGGCTCGATGAGGAACCCGATGTTCTCTACGTCGACGTCGCCGATGCATCGCTGATGTTGCAGGTGCATCGCCGACGCATCGCCGACGCATCGACGATGCGGCGCGGTCCTCCGACCCCATCTACTAAGACTCCATTTCGGAGGCCCCTATTGCTGGAGCCCCTGGATGCGGACGGGTTCCACGCGGCCACTTGCCCGCGGTCGGGCGGCGTGGTCGGGCCAGATGGCGGGCCGGCCGAGTCAGTGGGGGGCCTTGCGGGCCGGAGACACGAACGCCTGCTCCACGAAAAGCGCGTGCCCACTTGGGATCGCTTCCGGCCCTGGCGGCCTGCCCAGGGCGCCGGCCCGCCCGTCCCTGAGCCAGCCGTTTCGCATGTCAAATGCGACGGTGGACGTGTCCGTCTGCCACCTGGCGGCTGGGGACGAATCCACCGAGCGCGTCGCTGCACGGAAGCTCTGGAGAGGCCTCGCGCTTTGGCTGAGCGAGAAGAGCGGGAACACCGCTCGCCGTGGGCGCCTCGGCGCGGAAAAAACCGCCCGTGGTTGCCAAGCCGGGCGCGAGAGCTGCCGGAGGACGATCGGCAGCCCGAGCTGGCGCGCGCCTGCCGCGCGGCCACTCTCTCGGCGCAGCGCCACGGGCAACGCGACGGAGCGGCGGCGGTGGCCCGGCGGCGTCGCAGCGGGAGCTCCGCGCCGCCGCGGGCGGCGTCGGGGCAGCGGCGCGTCGGCGGCCGCGCCCGCGGGAGCGGCCGGCGCTCTGCTGGAGCCCCAGCGTCCTGGCGCGGTGGGCGAGTGGCCCGCCGGGTCCCCGACGGGCGCGGCGCCTCGGTGGCAGTCGGGCGGGGCGCGGCGCCAGCGGGAGGAGGCGGAAGGAGGCAGGGGAGGAGGAGGAGGCGGAGGAGGAGGAGGAGGAGGAGGAGGAGGAGGAGGAGGCTTGGAGGCTTGGAGACTTGGAGACTGCCTCAATCCGTATTTCTCGGCGCGACGGCCGCGGCGCCACCGAAGGGAGGGTCGTCCACTCCAGTCGGCGGCAGGTGAGCAGGAGGCCCACCACAGGCCCAAGAGGGACCACCACCAAGGCCCCAAATGGGCCAGACCCGGGAGACGAGGATGGGGCCACCCGCGACCAGACCAGGAGGCCCCAGGACCCGCGATGACAGAAGCAGACCCCCCACCCCCCGCGACCTCCTCAGGTGTCCGAGTATTCCTCGACGCGGTCCTCGGCGAGGTGCTTATGGTAGGTTCGTGTCGTGTCGACCGGCGGCGACCCCAGCGTGGGCGTTCAAGGTTGAACGCCGCCGGCGACCCAGAATCGGTCGATGTTGAAGGATCGCACGTCTCGGAAAGGGCCGATCGTTCAAGGTTGAACGATCCCCGAGGTGACAGAAACCATCGCTGGGGTCGACACCACGCGAACCTGCCGTATCGAGGTCAGTGCGGTCGACACCCTTGCTGCCGTGCTCCCGCTTGAGGGCATCGAGCTCGGCGTCGGCCATGAGCCGCAACGCCTGCAGGACCTTGACGGGGTCCGTCTTGCCCTTCGCGTCGCCTCCCTCCTGGTCGCCGTCGCTCCTGTCGACGTTGGCCCTGGAGTGCTGGCTCTTCTGCTTGACCTCCTTGTTCTTGGCCTCCTTGGGCCGGGAGCGCCCAGCACTTCGGAGGAGTCGCCCGCAGCGCCGTTGTCAGTAAGCTGCGACTCCCTCTCGATGTCCGTGCCGATGTAGAACTCCTCCGCGCCAGCTGCAGACGGTTCCGATCCAACGTCACCAGTGCGACATTGATCAGACCAATGAGCACATACAGCCCCGCGTGGTACTTCCGATGAGTCTGCCGCATCTGCTCCTTCTGGAGGCCTGCCTTCAGCACCTCCATCTTTGCAGAGCTCCGTACTCGTCGGACCAGAACATCTGCAGAGGCGCCACTTTGGGAGATCCGCGCGGATCTGCTGTGTCGCGGCTGGCCCCCCCCCGCGGCAGGGCTCACCGCTATAGGCTAGGGGGGTTCCAGCGCCGACCCCAGCAAGCCGCGCGGAACTCGAATTTCGTAATTATGTGTCTGCGCCGCTGTTTTCATGGTGCGCCCTCCGCTGCCGGCAGCCCCCATCAAGGGCGCCTTCCTCCAGAGACTTGACCCCCTCCTCGACCCCCCCTCACGGGCACGCCGCTCGGCGGCCCGCCCCGCCGCGGGTCGAGGGCGCGGGGCCGCGGGCTGGGGCCGCGGCGTGTGCCTCCATCCAGCCTTCGGCCACCACAGGAGGACCAACGGTGGCACGAGAACGGTGCGCTCCCCGCTTTCCAGGGCCCCCCGGTGTCCTCACGATGATGTATGGGCCGCGGCGTGTGCCTCCGTCCAGCCGTCGGCCTCACAGGAGGATCAAGGTGGCATGAGAACGGTGCGCTCCCGGCTTTCCAGGGTCCCCCCGGTGTCCTCACGATGATGTAGGGGGCTTCAGGCGCGGGGGCCGCCAGGCACTCCGGAATCATTGGGACGCACCTTGAACCAGTCGCGTCATGGAATCATTACGTCGTCATATCTCCCACCCCACCCCCAATCTTCCCCATCTTCCTGAGTCCTGCCCCTTCTCCTCCGTGCCCACCTTCCCCGGCCTCTCTCTCCCTTTCATCCCTCTATCTCTCCTCTCTCCTCTGGGGCAGGACCTTACCGCCTCGGGCGAAGTCTAAAAGACAGCTACTGGCCACCTTGCTTGTTCCTCGTCTTTACGCACCCCACGAAGCGAATACGACCAAAGAGGCCCAACACCTTCCCCCTTCCTCGCCCCTTCCCTCCCCCCTTCCCTCCCCCCTTCCCTCCCCCCTCCCCTCCCCCCATCCCAATATCCAAAATCCCTCCTCGCTGCGACGACGGCAGCGACGGCCCTTCGAGACCCTGCTACCAACCCCTGATCCAGACGTACCATGTCGCGACGTTTGCTCGTGGCGCAGGCCGCCGGACGTCTGACCCCGCTCTTCAAGGGTATAAAAAACGCCCCTACCCTGGTTTACGAGGCGCTGTGCGCTGAAACTCCTGTGGGCTGACAGGGTAAACCCTGCGTGATGTGCCGCGTCCTGGCGGCTCTAGGCTTTGGGGGGTCCCAGGAGCTTTACAGACCACGCACTTGTAACCCAGGGTAGGGTCGTTTTTTAAGCTCTCAAGCTCTGGGGGTCGTCGTTGTCTCTCTCCTCGGGCCGTTCTTTGGTTGACGGCCCCAGGACCTGACCAGGGCCCCCGGCTCTGGGCAAGCCTGGGGGCGAGTCGGGCGTCGAGAGTAATGGAGGGGCGATGAGTGGGGGGGGGAGGCAAGGTGCACCTGTTGTGCCCCCTGGGGCCCACAAGGGGAGCGAAACGTGCACGCGTCTTTCCCCCCACTTTATTCTTATTCTTATTATTAATAATATTATTCTTATTAGTATTATTATTCTTATTATTATTATTACTCCTATTCTTATTCTTATAAACGGGAACGAAAGGTGCACGCGTCTTGCCCCCCCCAGCTTCTTGGCCCCCCATGAAACCACGCCTGAGGCAGCGGTGGCCGTCGCGTTTTGTCTCCTCGCGACGACGGTTTCGCGCAGCGGCCCCGGCCGAGGTTTAGCTCCATCGGCTTCAAGGTGAAGCGCCCGGGGCCCAGCCCTCCTCCGTCCGTCCCTGCGGAGCCACGGGCGCCCCGATCGCCGTCCCCGCGGGTCTCCCGCGCCCGCGGGTCGCCTGAGGGGGGTATCGCCGCCCGCGGTTTTCCGCGCCCCGATCGCCGTCCGCGGGTCCCCAGAGGGGGAAGGTTATTGGTACCGCTACGATGCCCCCGCTTGTCCTCTGTGTCGGCCCTCCTGGGAGGCCGTCGTCGCCTCCGCTGGCTTCGCCTCGGGATCCTGGTCAGAACGCGCCCCCCGGGAGAGGTCCCTGGGAGTGGCGGGATCGGTACCTCGTGTGGTGTCCCAAACACCTGGCATCGCTCGGACGTGCGCATTTTTTCTCGGCCAGGACCATCCAGGACCATCCTGGACCATCGAGCAAAAAAAACACGCACGAAACCGAAAAATGCACAGGACATGCACAGGAAATGAACGTCCGAGCGATGGCGAGAACAATACATCGGCTTGCCAGCAGGGGCCCACGGATGTGTCCTGACTCCCGGTGGCCCCAGGGACCCAGGAGAGCTCGGGTGCACCTTGGGATCCTCGAAGATCGACGAAGCGTGTGCCCAAGGATTCCTCACAGCAGAATGTCTCGTCGCATGTGTCTACAGTCTGTTTCTCTGCTCTCCTCATTATCCTTCCTCCTCATGCTCACGCTTCCTCCTCTTCGGGTGACGGCGACGGCGGCTATCCATCGGCTGCTCCTCCTCTCCTTCGTGCTCTTCTCGCTAGGAATCTCGGGCGCACGCGTGAGCCCCCCCCTTCACTCGAGGGGCCGTGGACGCACAGGATGGTGGTCAGGAGCAAACAGCTCAAGACTGTCTGCCCCCGTTGCCCGCGTGCCACTCAACCTGAAGAGCCCGAGCCCTCGGCCCCCGCCCTCTTCATTCATGAACGTGCCCCCGCTTGCGGGCTTGGAAAGCACCACCGGATCGGCCACGTGTACCTAAGGTGTTGGAAGGATTCTGGCCTCCTTGGTAGACTCCCTCCCGGCCAGGCACCCTGACCCGTCTTTGGGGGCTGGCAGAGCCTCCTGGATGCATGATGATATTTTGAGCCACCTTGGACTATGTTGACCCATATCGGAAGTTATTTCGGGAGCCTTATTTGAGCCATCTTGGATGCCCTAGCCCTCCGCGAAACCCTTTGTCCAGACCCGATGGGAAGGGACTTCCCCCAATAGGGCTTCAGTCTCCTGAAGGTGTGCGGGGGGGGCCCGCGCTCCTAGGCGATTTCAAGAGGCTTCGCGGATGGGCCGAGAGGTCTCCAAGACAGTCCAAGGCCGCTCCACTACATCAAAGACGGCCTCAATGCGACCCCAGAGGCCCCAAGACGCCCCAAGAGGTCTTCAAGAAGACGTCCAGGAGAGCCCAACGGAATCATACTCTTCTTTCTTTTGGGAGACGTGCATTTTCAGCCTAGTCGCATTCTTGTTCTTCACAGCGCCCAAGAGGGGCTCAGGAGGGGCCTGGGATGAGCTCAAAATGCGCCCGAGGCCCCAAAGACTCCGCCAAGACGGGCCCAAGGGGGGCCCAAGGAGGCCAGAGATTGTTTCCATGTTGCGAGAATGCAATGCCAACGGAGCGCGAGAGGTTTAGCTCTCCAGATCCTGAAAAGACAAATTAGGTCCCCCCAAGACGGCACCCGAGGCCCCCAAGACGGGCCCAGGAGGGCCTCTCGAAGGCTCCCAGATGGCCCAAGAGGGGCTCAGGAGGGGTCCCGGACGAGCCCAAGACGGCTCACGATGCCTCCAAGACCCCACCCAAGACGGGCCCAAGAGGGCCTCAAGAAGTCCGCAGGCTTTTCCATGCTTCGAAAAAGCCAACAAGGTCCACCCGAGACGACCCCCGAAGTCCCCGCGTCGTCCCCGAATGTCTCCGAGACGTGCCCAAGAGGGCCCCAAGAAGGCCCAGACCCCTCCATGCTGCCGTGCTAGTTTGCCGTGCTGTTATGGCGGGCTGAGCTGCCGTGCTGGTAGGCACCTGCCTTGCGCATGCTCTCTCACTTCTCTGTCTCTCATCTCTTTCGCTGTCTCGGCCTTTTGCCCCGTTCATTCGAATACAATGGCTTAGGCGAGGGGGGAGTCTTGCGGCGTGGGGCAGTGGAGGGGTTACGCCCCTCTCCGCTGGGGAAGGAAGGGGTTTGGAAGAGGAACCGCGCTGGACTCCCTCCGTCCCGAGGGCTGGTGGGATTTGTGGTGTACGGTTCCCCTCCCCACGCTCCCTCTGCTGCTGTCTTTGCTCTGCTGGGGTTATCTATGAGGCCGGCGGACCGTGTCGAAGACGACGACAGGGGGAGACCCGGCCGAGGCCAGAAGCTGCACCGCGAGGACATCCGGGATCTCACGGAGCTCACCACGGCGCGCATGGAGATCTACCAGCTCGCCGCCGCCTCGGGGGGGAGGGACAGAGATGAGATGAGCAGGACCATGCAGACTCCTTTCTATGTTTGATCCTCGGCTCCTCCATCCGATGAGGTCGGGAGTCACAGCAGAGCTTGACGCACTGTCACTTCTCAAGGGGCTCTGTGGCTGGTCGTGCGTTGTCTTTTGGTACCCTGCCCCCGGGTAGGGGTCATGTCGTGAGTCTTGAGTCGTGCTTGAGTCGTGAGCCTTGGGAGGGACGAGGAGAAAGGAAGGGAGGGAGGGAGGGAGGGAGGGAGGGAGGGAGGAGGAGGAGGAGGAGGAGGAGGAGGAGGAGGGAGGAGGAAGAGGAGGACTGGAGCCGCTCTGCGTCCGCTCGTGCTTAGAGCCAACGGCCGCACAATCACGCGGGTGACGAGGAGGAGGAGGATGAGGAGGAGGAGAAGGAGGAGGATGAGGCAGAGGGGAATTGGAGCTGCTCTGCGACCGCCTCGGACGCAGCGCCAACGGCTGCACGATCTCCAGGAGATGGAGGAGGTGGAGGGTCAAGAGGAGGGGGGGGAAGACGAGAATCGGAGCCATACCGATCACCGGGCGGAGCAGGAGGCGGAGGGGGAGGAGGACATTTGGAACCGTTCCGCGGCCGCCTCGGACGCAGGGCCAACGGCCGAACGATCTCCAGGAGGAGGAGGAGGACGAGGAGAATGAAGGGAAGAACTTGAGCATCACAATAACCAGGAGGAGCAGGAGGAGGAGAACTGGAACCGTGAAAAGGAGGAGGAGGATGAGGAGGAGGAGGAGGAGGAGGAGGAGGAGGAGGAGCTGGAACCGCACGATCTCCAGGAAGAGCAAGAGGAGCAGAAGGAGGATGAGGAGGAGGTGAATCGGAACTGTTCTGCGGCCGCCTCGAATGCAGAGGCAACGGTCGCACGTTCTCCGCGAGGAGCAGGAGGAGAAGGGAGAGGAGGGAGCGAAAAGAGGGAGATGAAGGAGGGAGGGAAGGAGGAGGCAGAGCAGGGAGCGGAGGGCGAGGAGGGCGAGGAGGGAGGGGGAGGAGCGGAGGGCGAGGAGGGCGAGGAGGGAGGGGGAGGAGGGAGGGAGAGCAGGCAGAGGAGGGACGGGGAGGGGAGGCGGGAGGGAGAGCTCTGGAGCCGCTCTGCGGCCTCGGGCGGAGGGAGGAGGGGAGGCCTCATTCGCCGTGCCCGCCGAGGTGGGGACGCTGCTGCTGGCGTTCTGCATGGGGTGGTACACGGACAGCGGCGTGTGGGATCTGCCGGCGCGATGGGATGCCGCCAATCTCTCGGGGTTGGACCGACCTCCTACCCTGACACGTCGATTAAGGAATTGGCCGTTGTCGGTTCGCGAGAGTGCGTCGCGGCCGTCCTTTTTTGCGGGTCCAGGTCCGTCGGTTTCGGTCCCAGGCCGTTTTCATTAAGGGGAGGTTTACGAAAGGGAGGTTTGTCCACCGCCGGATCTCGAGGAACAGATCTCAGCATGAGCGTGCGCTAGTTTTCGGATCTCCGCGCGGATTTTTCGGACCAGCGTTGGGCCCCCCCTGGCGGCGCCTGCGGCGCCACCCCTGGCGCGTTCCGCGCGCCAGTGGCGGGAGTCCAGCGCCGATCCCCGAAGTCCGTGTGGACCTTCGAGGGTTCATGTTTCTGCAGTTGTTTCTGTATCCACTCGTTAGTGGCAGAACTTCGGAGAGGGGAGAGGGCAGAGAACGGGACGATGGGGGGAAGGGCAGACTTCAAGTCGTCCAGTTGTTAAGGGCAGAGAACGGGAAGATGAGAGGGGGAAGAGGGCGATGATAGGGGAGAGGTAAGGAAGGGGGACGAAGCCTGGCAGATAGTAGCATCGACGACGGAAATAATGAACGCACCACCCCTCTGTTTCTCTCATTCTATCTCTCTCTGTCTGTCCGTCTGCCTGTCTGTCTGTCTGTCTCTCTCCCTCTCTCCTGTAGATCCGTGTGATACTAGTAGACGGCTCGTGCTAGACGAGATGATGAGTTGCGCATGGTGCGATAGCGCGCACTGCAGATGATGCAGCGACGTACCTATGGAAGTTGTTTAAGGAAGGGTGGGACCCCAAACGGTGGTCGGTGGCACTGGGCAATAGCAGATACAACTCCGCACCCTTGTTGGGAAGGGGCACCCACCTGTGCACCAGAAGACTCGACCATGACAGCAGTGAGAGCCCCAGTATCTCCCGAGTCGCAGACTCAGCTTCAGGGCCCGGAAAACAAGGACACTGCAAACCAGGATTTTTACAAATTCCAATTGGAGAAGATTGAGAATTGGTGGTGTTAGGTGTGTTATGCGTGCGAGTCATTTTGAGCATGAATGTTTGTCTTCCCTGGCTACTAACGTATAATTATTGTGCTAATCAGACGGAACCTGTCTTACATTCACTCTCACACATAGTGCACGAGGAGGAAGAGGAAGAGGAGGACGAGGATAAGGAGGAGGGTCTCCGTAATGTTTAAGACCCAGCTTCCCCTATGCGATTCTGAGGTTGGGCTTTGCCTGCGTTCTGCTGGAGCACCGCCGCGGACTCGAATGCACCGATCCATAGGGAGACGCTTTGCGGGAAAGCGACACGTCCTCATGTTTGCTCGGGTCGGTCCACAAGGGCGGGATTTTGGGAAAGAGGGAGGGGGCGACATCTGCTGCATACAGCCAGTCTTGGCCCCGCCGCTGGGGCTTTCCTCGATGCAGTGTCGCCTCTTGCGCCGGGAGGCGCCGGGAAAGCCAGCTGCGTGAGCTGACTCGCTAGCCTGACAGGCCGCCTGGGCTGCTGCGGCTCGCCGCCGCGCCCAGCGACCCAGCAGCAGCAGCAGCAGCAGCAGTAGCAGCAGCAGCAGCAGCAGCAGCAGCAGCGCGCGCAAGCGCGGTGCCCTGGACGTCTCGATGGGCGCAGGGGGGCCCGATGCAAGCGGGTGGGGCGCGGCAGTCGGGCGTTTTTGGTGTGGGAAAGCTGGATCGCGTGGGAGGGGCCGGGTTCGGCTCGCGCGCGGGGTTCGGAGCGCCCTATCTTTCTTTATCACGTTCGTTCTGAGTTTCTCCGCCCCGTATGGCAATTGTTTCAAGAGAGCTTGGGGCAGGACGCAGTGGAACCTGTTCTGCGCGGGCAAGCACCCTAAGTCTTCATTTTTTAAGCTTCCTCTATCTTCCTGAGCCCTCCCCTCAGGCTCCAGAATATTATTGCCAGCGAAGCAGCCAGAATAGAAGCATCCCAGTCCTCACAGCAGGACACGGGGCCTCAGCAGAGCTAACCTGCTGCGCTCTCTCCAATCACGTGCGAATCCCCCTATCTCTCTTCTTATATTCTTCCCTTCTCCCCGTCCTGCCTTGCTGCTATCATACAAGGTTGACCGACTGTTCTCATAATTTCTCATCCCTCCTCGTTCCCTCCTTCAGTGCCACTCCTCCCGCCCAACTCCGCTTGATCCTCATCCCTCGACGCCGATGGCACCAATTCCACTTGGCCCAAAGTCTGAGGGCCGAACGAGAGACATCACCGTGGAGGGGGCCTTGACTATGGCGCATTCGATAGTGCAGAGCTTGCGGCCAGGATGGCGTCTCTAGTGACCAGCGGAGCGCTATATGAATGTACACCAGAAGATCTGGATAGACGGGTGCGCCCCAGACTTTCTGAACTAGCTATCGCAACGGCCGTTTTCAGAACGAGGTACGCGTCTCAGTGTTCAATATGCCAGCATCTTATATGTCTGCTGCAACATTGACAAACTCTGCACTCCATGGACATCGCGGACCGATTTAGGGCCGCTGTCGCGGCGGCCAGGACTTGGTCGACGCTGTAAGCTTTCAAGTCCAAGACTGGGACTACCGACGCCGTCTTCATTTCGCAGCGCCTCTTGGATGAGTCATGCGCGTCTTGAGCAAGGTGCTTGACAGCGTGATGTCACATGCCTTCCTCGAGGCGTTGCGCCAGGTTTGTTTGCCGCAGGAGGCACTGGCGCGGCGCGGGCAATCTACTCAGCCAGGAGTCTGGCGGTAGAGGACTGTGGGCAGACTTTGGCAGTTCGAGGCAACGATGGGACATTTGCCAAGGATGTGCTTGTGGCCTCATGGCGGTGATCATGGTGGCGCTCCTGCGCGATGGGAAGGACAGCCTGCGGGAACTGGCGGGGTTGGTCCACGAGCTGGCGCACGTGGGCGACGCGCTCATCGTCTCGATCGCGCTTGCGCATGCCGAGCAGCACACGAAGGTAGCAGAACTGGGCGGGCGCGAACTAAGGCCTCAGCTCCAACCTGGGGTAAGCTCAATTTGTTGCCGCGGGGTGCGGTGCTGTTATTCGTAAACCAGATAGAGCTGCCATCCCCCAGAAGGCAAGCATCGTGAAACTGGATTCCGTGTTTTCCGCAGACGGGACGGCGCAAGTTGGGCCGCTGTGTGGGGCAGGCCCGAGCGGAGTTTCAGGATTCGCGCCGCGTCCGGGACCGCAGCGGCATCCCCGCACGCAGAACAGTGCGAATCTCTGAAGCGCGCGCAAATGAACTCGTCATGCAGCTTGCGCACGGTAAGTTGCAAGCAAGGCGGACTGGTTCGCATCGAAGTCTTCCACGTAGGGTGTCTGCGGGGAGTCTTGGGGGTCCCGCATTCGTGCATCTTCCTATTGACGACGGCGCTTGCGTCATCATGCGAGTGCCGGCGCTCTCTTACATTGGCTGCTTATGATGGTCACCGTTGTTTGTGAGGATGATGGTTGTTATGCGCGTCCCATTCGCTTTCAGCCTGTTTCCCTCGACCGCCGCCCACCGCCCCCCCCCCCAAGGGCAGCCAGAGGAGAGGCAGACCGCGACACGTATGGTCCGCCGAGTGGCATAGCAGCGAAGGTTCAGTATGGGATAGTTTTGAACTATCAGTTTACATTTTGTGCGCAAGTGAGGCGCCAGAACGGAAGCACGCTGCGCTTGCATGTTGTTCGGCGCGGTAGGTGTGCCATGTTGCCCGCGCGCCTTCCGTCTAGGGGCTTAGATCTCCGTTCGCGCAGACCCTGCGATTGGTGGAGCAGTCCTTTGCAAGGAGGCAGACCATCATTGCCATATTCCTTCATCCCCCCCCTTCGATTTACTACCCCGCTCTCTCCGCTGACTGAACACATGCCGTCTGCTCGCTTCACATGGTGCAGTCTATTTCTTTCTCGCTAATTGCTTCTTCTTTTCCTTTCCCACCCTTCTCCTTCTCTTTCCTTCATCCTCTCTCTCCTCCCTCTTACCTAGTTGTGCCTTCTTTGTTTGTTTGTTTTCTCTCTCTCTCTCGGTCTTTGTTTCGTCCCCTCCCCCTTCGACCATCTTCCGTCCTCCCTGTACCGTCCCCTCTTCCCGATCGTGGTGGCATCCCTGCGGCCAGGTGTGGTTCACGGACCTGTGGCTCATCAGCAACTTTGCGGCGGTGGGCTACCTCCTGATCTGCGTGTGGCTCTCGATGTATGCGGCCGTGGCCGCCAGGCCATGCGGCGGAGGAGGAGGGGACCCAGACATCTGGGGAGTCGGACGGATCGTGGTGCTGGCTTCCTCGACCCGCAGGTCGCTTCCCCGGGGCCCGGGACCGTCCAGGAAACAGTTCGTGGGAATTTCCAGGCGCGTCGACGATAAGCGGCAGGCAAGAATTTGGCAGATTGCCGGGACCGCCCCGCAGATACCGCCTTTTTATCGCAGCGAGGAGGCGCTGTCTGCGGAGAAGGGGGATGAATGGAGGAGGAGGAGCAGCAGCAGGAGCAGCAGCAGCAGCAGGAGCAGCAGCAAGCAGATGGGGAAAGCGGAGCGCCGGGCGGTATTTGCCGCATACCGAGGCGAATTTTGCGATCCGTTGTGACGACGGTCGGCGTGCATCGTACATCAGCTAGTTCTACGTCAGCATGGGTTTTAGAAGCTCGCTGGATAATTGACTGGCGGTGCCAGCACACAGACGGTCGACATGGCCAGAGAGTGCCATATCACAGCAGTGCCGCAGTTTGCAGCGATGTTGACGGTAGTCGTTCATCGCATTGATGTCCTCCATGGTGGTTCTCGGAAAGTTGCGGTATTCAGCCGTCAGATTGCAGGGCACACGCCTACTCGTTCGGAGAAGTCGTGGATTGGCCTGACACAGACCTGTCCTGCGGCGCCGGAACACTGTGCTCCGAGCGATCCCCGACCACGGAACGCGAGGCGGGAGCCCCAGAGAGCACCAGCCCACGTTGGGCTCGGTGGCCCACGGTATGCAGCCGCCATGCGCCGACGGCACGTGGCGGATGGGCGGATGGGCGGCCGCAGCGCGCAGGGTGTGTGTGCGAGGCGGGAACGCGGTGGCGCGTCTGCCTCCCGGCGGCTGGCCAGGAGGCAACTGCGCTCTCCGAGGCCTCTGCCCGTATTTGCCGACCTGGCTGCTTGCGCGTGTGGGGTCGACGCCCGCATCGATGTCGAGGTCAAGCCCAGCCCGACACTTGTCGGGGGGGGGGGCTGGCGTCAGCGGCGCCAGCAGGCGGAGGGGCCTCTGCTGGCAGCGTCATTGCGGGGGGGCGACGGGCTCAGGGGGGACGCATCGACCCCCGATCGCCCACGGATCGCCGGTAGGGGCCCGACAGTCCGATCCGTCCAGGGACGTCCGGATTTGCCATCAGGGGCCAGTCGCAAATCTAACGGCGATGCATCGCCGATTCGAGGTCGATGTCGCCACCCCCTTGATCCGCCCTCCCCTAACGTTGGCTCTCAGGAGGGGCGGAGGGAGGGACGTCCTGGGGGGGTCCCGAAGGTGTTCGAGATTCATGCAAGCGTGGAGAAAGGGGGGGCAGGACGAGGAGGAGGGAGGAGGGGGGGGGAGGAGGAGGAGGAGCAGGACGAGGAGGAAGGATGAGGAGGAGGAGGAGGAAGAAGATGGGCCAGAGGATCCGTCGGATTCGGTATCAGGTGCTCATCGCGAGTCTGTCGGCGATGCGTCGCCAATTCCAGCTCGATGTCCTCCCCCCCTGAGCCGTGCCCCCTCGCCTCCCCTTGGCGCTACCACCCCAGGAGGAGGCCCTTCAGGGGTCATTCCGACTCCACCGGCTCAATTCGATTCGATTTCCTCGGCTGCCAGTACGAGCCGATTCGATGCAAAGACTCCGACCTGCGCTCCCGATTCCGCGCTGGCCCGATCCGGCTCCTGCCGATTCCAGCCGAGGCTTCCGGTCCCGAGGGCCGCGGGACCAGCGGTTGCCCGCCCCAGGTCCGCGGGCACTCGCCTGCTCACGAGCTACGCCCGCCTGTCCATCCCCACGCAGGCCCCGAAGAGCCCGCCGTCCCGGCAGTCCGGCCCGCTGCCGCCCATGCCGCGGCCGCTCGTCGGAAGGGGCTCAAGGCGCGAGCTCGAAGAGAGCGAGAGAGAGAGAGGGGAATCGGAGGCGAGGGTACAGTGCCATTTTTAGTCCATGCTCCGTGTGCGGATCATGTGCTAAACATGCAGGGACTTAGTAGTAAAAACAACGATGAGTCCATGCATACATTGATTCATAGATTAGGCATGTATGACAAATCCTATCTGTTTTGAATCCTATGTAGCTGCCCTGTAGCTGTCGGCCCTCGGGTCGGGCGGGAGCGGGGCCCGGGAAAGGCAGGGGGCACGGAACGCTTGCTGCACTCAGCCGGTCTCGATCCCGCCGCCGGGCCCGCTTGCGCCGGGAGGTGCCAGGAAAGCCTTCGGCGGCGCGCCCAGAGGGGAGTGAGAAGAAGCAGGCCTTGTCAGGAGGCGGCAGGGCATCTCAGAAGCCCTCTGGCCTTTGATGAGTTGTCCGTGTCTTTGGGGAATGTTCAGAGAAGTTCTCAGAAGGCCAGAGGCCTTCCGAGCCTTTTGATAAGGCCCGCCCTTTCTCACTTCCCTCCCAGGCTCGCCGCCCACTCAATTCACGCGAGCTGAATCGCTCATCAGACGCCCGTTACCAGCCTCCTTCTTCTCACCCGACCCGAGGCTCCGAGCGGCGATGGTGTCGAGCAGGGGGTGGTGCCGCAGGAGGATTCGACGGAGGCGAAGCCAAACCAGGAGAGAAGAAGCGGGAGAGGAAGCACATGAGAAGCAGGTGTTCGACGGTTCGCGCGGATCTCTTGGCTCGGCGCTGGGCCCCCGTTGCGGCGCCTCTGGCGCTGCCCCTGGCGCGCTCCGCGCGCCAGGGCGCTGCAAGGGGACCGTCGGATGCCAAGGGAGGGGGCCTCGGGCTAGCCAGGGTGGAGGGGGGGTCCTTGAGTTCACCTCCTGTGGGAGTGGTGGCGCGGGGGGGGGCGCTCCGCTCTGGGCTCACACTCCTGGGTGTGGCGGCGCTGGGGGGGGGGCTTCCCGAGGCTTGTCCCCCTAGATGATCTGAACAGGCCGCGCGCTGGGTATGTTTCCCGCCGAGTTTCAGGGGATCGCGTTGCCGTGACGGGGAAGTGGCCTCCCCCTCGGAGCGAAGGTGCGATTCCCCTTCGGGGGCCAATGCACTCAGCCTGCGAGGCGCGGGGCTTTTCCCCTGGAGCGGAACTGTGCTCCCGCTGGAGTGGAACCACCCTTCTCCCGGAGAGGAGGGGAGGGTGAAGGATTGGGCTTCGCGCAGTGGGGGGGCGATGAATGGGGGGGGGGAGCGAGTGCTGCAGAAGAGGGGCTCACTAGGGCCCCTGAAGGGACCCTGTCGGACCCCGAAGGGGGCCTTCAGGTCCCGCAAAGGGCACCTTTCTTCCCCCGCAGTTACCTTCTCTCCACGCCCAAGAAGGATGAGGGAGCAGAGAGGTGGCGTGAGAGGAGGCGGACCGCGCGGGACTAGGACGAGGATCAATCCGTTCCAGAGCGTTCTGGAACGCTCTCAGAGCTTCCAGATCGTTCCGGAACGCTCTCAGAGCGTTGCGGAGCGCTCTGAAAAGACCGCGGCGCCCGCAGGTTCTTCCAGAGCCGCCGGATTTCAGAGATTCTCGATTTTTCCTCACCCGATGTTATTATCGTCCTTGCTTCGTCTTATCGGAGGTGGATTGCGCGGCGGGCTCGTTCCCCACTACAGCTAGAACTGTTCGCAGGCGGTTGCTCTCCCCCAGCACCTGAGTTCCGCCCGAAACTGGGGATACACCCCAGTGGGGCTATTCGGACGTACCATTGTCGAGGATGGAAGCCCCCCATCGTATATCCCAGGGTTGGGCCCTAAAGCTTTTGACCATTCGAAACCCCCACGATGCTTGGGATAGGGTCGACTTATCCCCTGTTAGCGGTACCCCGAGGTCCGATATTTTGATATTGTTCAATGCGACGTCCTTGGTAGTCCCGCCCCTCTCCCAGGAACGGATTTGCACCCCAAGACGTTTACGGACGTCCCCTGGGCCTTGCGAGGGCCCCGAAGATCACGAAATATGTCCGCCTTGATGTTTTCGTTTACGTTGAATGTCTGAGCACCTCCTTCTGCCATGCATGAGAGGGGTCCTGAGGGAAACGGGGCCTGGGTATTGTTCCCTCTTTCCGGACTCTCCGGGTCCTCCCCTGGATCGCCAACAAAACAACGCTCCAGGATGACACGCATGCCCCGAGCCGGGGTCCAGGACGCGCTTCCCTCAGGACCGCTTCTTTCATGCCAGCTCCTCTCCCTGTGCACGTCGGAGGTGCTTCCCCGTCTGGGTGTTTCTGGGGCTGCGGTCGAGCGTCTCTCGGTCTCAGGTCGGAAGTTGATCCCCCGCTTTGCCAGGTCGATTAGCGAATTGCCCTTTCTCGGTTCTCGAGAGGGTGTCGCGGCCGCAGTGTTTGCGGGTCTGCGCCCACCAGGTAGTCACGGTCCCAGGTCGTTCTCATTAGAGGGCGTTTTGTTCGAACCAGGAGCGATGTTAGGGGGTCAGGCTCAGGGGGGGACGCATCGACCCTCAATCGCCGATTCATCGCCGATAGAGGCCCGATAGCCCAATCCGCTCAGGAACGTTCGGATTCGCTATCGGGGGCCTATCGCCGATCTATCGGCGACGCATCAACGATTCCAGGTCGATGTTCCCCCTCCTGATCCGACCCCCTCAGGAAGGGCGGAGGGAGGGACGTCTTCGCGGGGTTTGAAGGTGCTGGGGATTCATGCAAGCGTCAACGGGGGGAGGGAAGGAGGAGGAGGAGGAGGAAGAGGAGGAAGAAGGAACACCAGGATGATAGGCACGGCTGTCAAGTAGGGCACGGGTGTTTTTTCACCAGCCAGCTTGTGGTGTTGTTCGATGAATGAGGATACCAACCTCGTGGGCTGAAACGGGTGAAGGCAGATTACTGCGATGCTGAGGTGCTTCGTGCGGAGGAGGAGGTGCAGAGTGAGGAGGAGAGGAACGGATTGAGCCTTGGGGCTCGAGGATCGCTTCGCTACTGTGGGATCTGCCCACCCCCGACGGGGGCCCGCCGGCCGCCCTCTCCCCCCTCCTTCTCGGGCCAGGCGAGGGGCTCGGATGGGGAAAGGAGTTCGTCGATGCAGGGGCGCCTCCCGGCGCCAGGAGGCGCCAGGAAGTCCGGCCACGTGAGCTGACTCTCTACCCCTACCCTTTGCTACCCTACAGTGCCGTTTTTGATACATGCTCCGCGTGCGGATCATGTATTAAACATGCAAAGATTTAGTATTACAAACTACGATGAGTTCATGCATAAATTTGTTCCTAAATTAATCATGTATTAAAACAATCTTATATGTTTAAACCCTACATATACTAAATCCTGCCCTGTACCCTGTCGCTCCCCCCCCCTCCGACACTCGGCCCCCGCCAGCCGCGCTGAGGCCGAGCTCGACGGGATCAAGAACCCGATCTTCTTCGACGCCCGGACTCCGCCGCCCGCGCCGCTTTTTTGTTTTGTCCGCCGCCCGCGGCCGCGCGGGGGGGGGGGGGGCTTGTCTCAGAGTCGGAGGTTGATAGACCTCCTACCCTTAAGTCGGGCCTGTCCCCCCACAGGGGGATTTTCGACGAAGAATAATCAATACCCCCAGAATAGTCACAAACAAAGTATGGTTTGACCTTTTTGGGGCATTTTTGGGAGATCTTTCATTTTTCGTAGAGAATCCCCCTGTAGGGGGACACGCCCGACATAATCCTACCCTGACACGTCGATTAGTGAATTGGCCGTTTTCGGTTCGCGAGAGGCGTCGCGGCCGTGGTCTTCGCGGGTCCAGGTCCGCCAGTTTCGGTCCCCGGCCGTTTTCACGAAAGTTTGTCCACCGCCGACAGGGGGAAGAGGTACCGAGATCGCCGCCCTTCGCTCGTGCTCCCTTGTTTGAGCCTCCTGGGAGCCCCTCGTCGATCTTCCTCGGCGCGCGGACTCCGCGCCGCGCCGCGTTTGTCCGCCCCCCGCCGCCACGCGGGGAGGCACGTCGGCGGCTGCAAAAAGTGCGTCTTGGACTCTCTTGTGAGGGGCGCCGCAAGGCCGAGCAGTCGGGCCCGTATAGGGGCCAGATCAAGAGCCCGATCTTCTTCGACGCGCGGACTCAGCGCCGCGCCGCGTTTCTCCGCCGCCCGCGGCCACGCGGGGGGGGGGGCCTGTCTGAGAGGAGGAAAAGGCACCGAGACCGCTAACCTGCGCCCGTTTTCCCGTTTTGGGGGCATCCTGGGAGGCCCTCGTCGATCTCCCTCGACGCCCTGACGCCGCGCCGCGACGCTTTCGTCCGCCGCCCTCGGCCACGCGTGGGGGCTCGAATCGGCATCTGCGAAGTGTGTGCGATCTGCGCCTCGGTCCGGGCCGGCCAGGGCAGCTGCCTCTCGATGAGGGCGGCGCGAGGGCGCGAGGGCGCGCAGAGGATCGCTTGTCGTGCCTCGCGGGGCGCGGGGCGCGGAGGTGTGTGGTTTCGAGACCGTGGCGGGCCTCGTGTGAGCATGCTGTGCCAACTTGTATCAGAAGCTGCGCGATCTGGTGACGAGGCTGCACGTGCAGGTGTGTTCCGCCGCCCGCGGCCTCGCGTGCGGGGGGTGGTCGGCAGCACGTGCAGATCATGAGTCGTACTACAACCCCCAACGCTGACGACACAATGTTTCCGCGGCGTAACCTGGGTCCACGGTTTCCAGGGGCTAAGTTGTGTGCCTTCCTGACTTTGGTCCCCTCCCAGAGTGTCAGGGGCATTTTTCTTGCTCATCAACAGCGCGGGCTATGCTTCTGATTTGTTGGAAGGGGCGCCGCGCAAGGCCGATGCGCACTGGATACGGATAACATCGAGCCACTGGGGGCTAGATGCTTATCCGTATCCAGTGCGCCTCGGGTTTCTGGGGAAGGGAGCCCGAAACTCCAAGCTGCAATGGATATGGACACAAGTCTTGCCCGTACCAAGGGTGCGGTTACGCCGGGTGCGGTTTGCGATGGGCCCCGTTGGGGCCTGAGAGGCACGGCACTATCCTCGTCGGGCCTCCCGGGGAAGCGGCGGAGAGTTTTGTCGAGGTCCTCGCCCGCCCGCCAGGAGGCCCCCTAGGGTGCCCGTTGCAAACCACACCCTTGGCAATTCACGCCCGTCGGAGTCGCCGAGCCCGCGGCCACGCGGGGAGGCTTGCTTTTTGGGGGCGCCCAGTGGTGACCTTCGGACACTGAGAGAGCGTCCACCAGACAAGTCGACCAAGGATTTCTGCACGGGTTCTCTAGACATTGGCGTTACGTGTGTGCCAGTGCAGTTTCCGGTCGGTTTCGCTCATCGACGTGCGTTTCGCCGGATACATTCGGTTGTCTTGGACGTCGGTGAGTGATTCCCAATGGGTGCATTCGGAATGCGGTGCTGCGAGCACCCGTGGAGTGCCCAAGCAGCTTTCGCTGAAGGGCGGTTTGCAAAAGATGCTTCGTTTATCCTCGAGATTATGGGGAGGGGGATCATCATGGCCAGGGCCAGGAAGTCGCCCCAGATGTCATGGCCCCTCTGCCTCCTCTTTCAATGCGTCCCCTGGTCCCCCCCTCGTCCGCGTACATGCCTCGGACCATGATCTGCGACCCCCCCTACTTAATGGACGCCCCCCCTCTTGGACGCCCCCGACTGTTCGGATGCCATATCGGGAGCATTTTGTCGACGAATTCCAAAGGTCTTCCGACGTGGGGGCTCTTGCGGGGGGCCGCTGGATAGCCTGCAAGAGATCTCCGGAGGTCCCCACGGCAGGAGCCGTTTCGATCCGACCGGTTCGGTTCGACACAGTTCATATCGAATACGAAAAGATTCCGACTCGACTCGCCGTGCCGATGCGGTTTTTTCCGATCAGGCTTGTTGGGAGCCGATCCGACCTAGATCCGACTCAGGAGGATCTGATCCAGTAGTTTCCGATCCGACTTCGCTGCGCGCCGATTCGCACCGATCCGATTTAAGAATCAACAGGAGGAGGAGGAGGAGGAGGAGGAGGAGGAGGAGGGGGAGGAGGAGAGGAAGGGGGAGGAGGAGGAGAGGAGAGGCCGCTGCTGTTGTCGTCGCCGCCGCGCTGCCGCCGCGCTGCTTCAACGACCCGCTGCCGCCGCGAGCACCGCCCGACAGAAAGAGGACGAGACGGAACAGCAGCAGGAGGCGGCGCCCAGAGGGAGCAGGAGGAGGCGACCAAGGGGGCCCAAGGGGGCCCAACCAACCCCCCCTCCCTCCTCCTCCTCCTCCTCCTCCTCCTCCTCCTCCTCCTCCTCCTCGTCCTCCTCCTCCTCCTCCTCCCCCTGCCTCCTCCCCCTGCCTCCTCCCCTGCCTCCTCCCCCTGCCTCCTCCTCCTCCTTCTCCTTTTCCTCCTCCTCCTCCTCCTCCTCCTCCTCCTCCTCCCCTCCTCCTCCTCCTCCTCCTCCCCCTCCTCCTCCTCCTCCTCCTCCTCCTCCTCCTCCTCCTCGCCCCTCCGTAACCATTTTGGCTCAAGATGCAGGTTCCCCTTCGGAGCCGAACGGATACCGCTAGTCCGCGGGTTGGCAAGACTTCTTGATGTCTGGAGTTCTCTCGCGTCCGCCTTCCCTGCGCTTGGAACGGTGGGTAAACGGAGGTGTTTCCCATTCCTATTGGCCCGATCACCCCAGAGTTCTCACTCATGTCCGCCGCCACCTCGCACCAACTCTCGTCCCAGGACGCTGCTGCCATCGACGGTTGCCCCACGTTCGCCACGCAGGAGCTTGCGCCCTCGCCTGCTGGGGGTTCTGGCAGAGGTGGTCGTGGTGCTTCTCTATTTGGTGGCTCTGCTCCTCTTGGCGGTTTCGGCAAGTTCGTCCCCCCCCCCCGCAAACGTGCTGCCGCTTCTGATGAAGGTGATCAGGAGGTTGAAGAGGCGTACGTGTCGGACGACTACGTGTGCCAGGTGTGCATGGACATCTTCCCATCCTTGTTGGGGAATGTCAAAAGGAGCTGGCGAGTTCGGTCAAAACTTGTGTCACCTAGCATGTCGCCTCAGCCAACGGCAAGATGCTGGCCCTCGCCGACCAGCTGTGGAACGAGCTCGCGGGCCAGCCCGCGGCGCTCGACCAACATATGCTCGGAGTTGTTAGGCGGAATGTTGATGGTGCATCTCGTCGATTCCAGGAGCAGATTGATGTGCGCATTGGCACGCTGCAGGATTATGGTGTTTGTATTGCGCCGATCGAGGGGGATGTGGACGAACTCAAGAAGCAAATGCGTGAGCGCCGCGATCAGGTTGCCATCGCTGAAAAGCGTCCCCAGGCCCCGCTGGCTGCCCCGCAGGGCTTCGAGCGCGACGTTGACGCCACTGTTGTGGTCATCGTGTGCCAGGCCGCCACCACCAAGCAGCTCGTGTGTGCGGCGCTCATGGAGTGGCTCGAAGAGCTCGGCTTCCCCGAGTCAGACTGCGAGAGCTCTCCCGCGGGGCAGGCGCCCTGCAAGAAGTTCAGCCTCAAGTTCGGCGGCCTCGTCGCCGTCGCCTCCCGCAAGGTCATGCGTGTTCTTTTTCGTCTGCGTGTTGATGGTGTTTGGAAGGAGTTCCACGTGGACATGCCAGGCGCGGCTCGGGCGCGCATGCACCTCGGCCCAGAGAAGAGCCCTCGCAAGATCAACGCCGAGATGCTGCTCCGACGGCGTCGTTCCGCCATTGCCCATGCCCGCCCCAATCTCCGTCTCTTCAGTGACCGCGACCATGGCGCACCCTCGGCCGGGTGGGGCAGGATCCTTCGTGTCGGGGTTGCCGCTGGCGCCGCGCCTGCGACCATCGCGCGGGATCCTGCGGCTCTCCGGAAGCACAACCCGTGCAAGAACAACCTCGCGCAGCTCACGCGCCACCTCGCGGCGCCGCAGGCTGCGCCGCAGTGGCGTCTTTGATTTCGCGAAGCTATTCAAGTGCTCTTCTCCTGTACCTGGTGGTGCTATTCCTCCACTGCGTGTAGTGACTTGGAATGCTAGGCCCTCTTGCAAGCGGCTGGGGCTAAAGCCGCGCGCCAGTGGAGGTGTGTCGAGAAGCTGAACGTTGACAAGAGCATTGTCTCTACCCGGGAGGTTCGGCAGGATGCTGGGCAACTTGATGGATCCATTCGAGGTTCCGACCCTCTGGTCGCTATTCGCGCTTCATTTTGTGGCGACGCTCCCGAGGACCGTGTTCGTGGTGGTGTTGCTGTCCCTCTACCTGCTGTCAGTTCGGTGGGCGGTCGCCCTGCTCAGAGTCGCGCTGCCCCACTGGTGGCTGGGCGTGTCATCCACGTGATGGTCGAGGTCGCGGACATCCATTTCGACATCTTCATTGCGCACAACCGCGAGCTCTCGGCTATGCAGGTCGCGTCGGTGGCGCGGGTCATTCGCAGTGCTCGGGCCCTTGCGGCCGGGGACCCCGCCGAGCGCCTCGCCATTGTCAACGGGGACTTCAACTTCGCGTCGGAGGAGGCCGTGGCCCTGCACATGCCGC